GATTTTTTCCTGATGAAAAGTGAAAAGTAGTAATTACGGAGTGACAGAGGAAAATGAAGTTTTGAACCAAAAGGCAAAGTTCGCGGATGAAAAAACCCAACCCAATTAGCTGCTTATGAGGAATCGAAATTCAGAGCATTTGCTCTTCCATCTCCCTCAACAACCTTTTGATTGACTCTGCTTAGATCTGTACAGCAAAGCAGATAAATCGACATGCCACATGCATGCGATGCTTAATCATTTGTAATAGCCATATTTGCCCTGACATACAATTTGCTATATCAAGCCAGTTTTTTCTTGCTCACCAGTGTTCTGCTGCTTGGCCTTTGCTTTATAAAACATTTAATAGTTTGCTTTAAATACATCAACATGCTGATATACGATTGCCCTTTGTATGCCTCCTCGAGAAATCATGCACTTTCCTCCTATTGTGCTTTGCATGGTTTGTCATTGGTGAAGAGACCTCATGTCAGGAAAGAAGGGGTATTAAGGTCTTGATTTTCTGTCTTGTACAAGCAGCTACTCCGTGCATAAAGGCCATCAGTCCTAGTGAAGGCTGGACTACTGGTGGGGCTACTGTCATCATAATCGGAGACAACTTCTTTGATGGCTTACAAGTCGTATTTGGAACTATGTTGGTCTGGAGTGAGGTAAGCTCTCTAAATTGGTGGGCTTTGAACTGTAACATTTTTCCATGAATGATTTTAACAAGCTGTCAATAGGCTATTGACATGAGGTATCATGAGATTTTGTTTCACGGTGCCTTTTTAACCATGAATTCACATGTGACAATTGACTACACGGCGAGAAATATACTTGAGGCACATCATGGCCCTCTAGTGGAAGACTTGCTGTAGGAGGTCTCCCAGTACAATTGGACAATTAGTGTTAAAATTACTAGAAGTAGCCTTAAGGAGACATATGGAGGCAATTTTCATATGAATGATGCCCTGTGGCCTTTCCTGCAAACGAAAAACAAGGATCATTTACAGAGCTTTTTCTTAAAAAAACTTGTAGAACCCATATCTTCGAACATGACAGCAAGAAGGGAGAATTTTGAGACGACGAGTAGGATCGAAAGTCATTCTTGTAATTACATAAACTGGCTGGCATCAGTCTTATCAGTGCCATCTTGATTTAAGGTATGTTTTCTGTACGATTTTTATAGCTGATAACACCCCACGCCATCAGAGTTCAAACACCACCACGGCACATTCCAGGAGTTGTTGAAGTAACTCTCTCCTACAAATCCAAACAGTTCTGCAAAGGTGCTCCCGGCCGATTCGTCTACACTGGTAAGTGTACGGTTTCCTTGCTCCTTTCAGGATAACAGCTCCCATCTCTTAATGCTATACAGGCAGTGCAAAGTGTGAACGTTACAATGCTGTTAAAAATTAGGATGTGTCCTGCGGGAAATGTAACTGGTGGTAGCTGGACTTCAAAATACCTGTTTGTATGGGCACCCAGAAGAGCTGGTGCCTGTCCAAACCTCTCGGGTCTTATAAATGTCTCGATGTCTCGTGGGATCAAACTCTCTCACAAGGTGCCTGTTACGTCCTGTTTTCATCTTGGCCAGAAGTAGATGAACAACGGTGTTTCCTACTCTGCTCCAGCCAGAAAAAGGAGTTATGAAGTATTCAGTGATGAAAAATATCTTTCAGGCTACCTATTCAAACTTTTTGAACTTCCCTAAAGGTTCAGTTGAAGTTTTAGGCACCGGTTCAAGTAGCTGTTGTTGGATCTAAAGAACTTTATCCAACCTTATTCACAATCTGGCTCTCAAAATCCTTTCAGACCTGAAACTTGGGATACAAATTCACAAGCCTGAGAATGATTTATTTGTGCCAATTCTTTTAAATGCATTTGATTTTAATTTACAAGAGCACAAGAAAAAGTCGGAACTTTGTGGTTTCCAGTGGTTTTAATATGAAAATTCTTACTTTGGGATGAAGTATTGCTGGCTTTTTATCTAAAATGTGTAGTACACTTTTTCTGGCATTTAACAATGAATTTAACTGAGGTGCTGGGTGGGAAAAGGGAGAAATAGCAATTTAATTTACCGTACTTTTGGATGAGGATTCTAGGTAATAAATTTGATCTGGTGAATCAATCTCTCTTTTGAAAATAAAGAGCCTTTAACTGTTTACTCGACAGACTGCAGGGATTCGGGGAGAGTTCTTTCTGCTTATTGGGTAGATAATGCAGATTGCAGATGATGCGCAGATGATGTGCATTTTGATGAATATTTTCCCACTAGACTGCAACTGTTTCTATCTATTAATTTAGATCTAATGGGAAAAGTGTGTTCCTGGATAGTTTTAAGCTAGCACTTTTTAAACAGTTAATATATTGTGGATCTATTTTTTTTCTGTCTGCCTAAGATCTATCGCTGAAATGAACTTTTAAGCAAAGGCAGGATCTGAGATTCCCATCTCCCACCTACCCCCAACGAAATTACAACCTGAGCAAAACCAATGGTCGCATTCACACGTGGGTGCCTCACTTCTGGCTGACAAGGGAGAGAATACTTACATTTTCTTGATCTTTCTGGTTGGGTTTGGTTTTTACCAGAGTTACCAAATGGGATGGTAGTGACCGTGGTGCTTTCGGTGCTAAGAACATATCTCAAAAGCCAACGTTGTTTCGTGGTCTGCTGCAAAGGTGGTGACCGCAGGTGGGACTGCCCGCAGTCGCGGTTAGAGGCTTAAAAACGCTGCTATGAACATAGTCCCTGCAAAGCTACAGCAGAGTATCCTGACAAGTAGGACTAGCTAAGCTAAGTGTTCAGCAAAAGAAAAAAAATGAATGAATTAAAAGCCTTAGACAAAGTTCCGGATATTTTAGCTGTTGCGAGCTGGTGCAGTTCCATTGCACACAGGGAAGCGCTGCAGATTTGAACCAGATGACGGTCTGGCTCTCAGTGCAGAGGCCTGGAATTTTGAATTGCCTTATAGTAATGTCTCTAACTGATTTCTTAGGTGTGGATTTTGCAAATTTGGCAAATTTTGCTGTTTTGAACTTTTCTAATGTCTAAATGCAACTGTGTATGAAACTGTAAGGGAAAGCCGTTTGTTTCTTCTTTCCTGGGGTCATCTTTTGTCTTTATCACTAAGTAAAGGTGTTCAAAAGAATGGTGAGAATGTCAGAAGCTACAATTAAATTGTAATAAAGTTGTATTACTAACAACACCTTAACGGGAATATATATTTAAAACACCTTTTGAGGGAAACAAAAGCCTATATCCCAGCAGTACGAAAATAAAGAGATAAAGCCGGCGTCTGCCTGACTGAGAAACTTCTGCCTGCTTCGCTTTACCCTGAAGTGTTAGGGTGACTGAGATGTAGTCTTTGGAAATTACAGCTGCCATTGAGAGCGAAGCCAAGCCTCACTGTATTTCAGAAAATGAAAATGATGCAGCCCTGGAGGAGGGAGGGGCTGAATCCCCAGGGCATCTGTTTCCCATCAGTGTCCCACCATGCTTGCAGTCTGGCTTGGCACTCTAACATTTAACCTTCCCAGCATGAGGTAGACCATAGGGCAACAAGGCTGCAGAATAATGAAACAAGAGTGTAGTGTGGTGTACAAAGCCTTTGTGAGCAGAGAAGTTGAGACATTAAATGATCAGGGTACGGAGATATGAAAGTTCCAGATTTTTCTAAAAAGCCCCCATTAGTCTCACGCAGAAGCAAGAGCGCGCCGTCTCTCAGCAGGCAAAGGCAAGGCCTTTCCCCATCTATCCATGCCTTTTTGCCCGCTGCTTTCAACTATTATAAAGATACAATTACCTTGGGAGATTGTGGCAGTTCAGTTGATTAGCACGGTGAATTAAAAGAATGAGTCACAAATGACATGTCCAGCTCTTCTCTACTAGTCCTTTGTATTCCCAGTATACCTCACCCCTGTTGTAAGAAGGTCAAAAATTAGAGAGAGATAACAATTTTCAAGCAGCTAGCACTTAGGAGCAGAATTAACAATCATTCTGTATGTAATTGCCAGTTAATAGTAAATTGCCTTCTAGACTGTAAAATGCAATATAAACTGGTGGGCACCTAAAATTAAATTAATGAGGTATTTGCTGCATTTAAAAGTGAATAGTGCAAATTAATAAGTGGGTACAATACTTGTTTTAATATGTATCGAACAGTGCATCGTTTGCTTGTTTAATAACAATTTAAAAAGTGCTACCTGAAAAAATTCTCTATCTGTCTGGGTAAATCGAGTGGTTTGTGCAGGTTGTAGCCATAATTCTGCTGGTAAAGTCTTCCAGGTTTCTAAATTAAATATCAGAGATTATTTTTTAATTAGAATATAAGCACTGCAGTGTTATTTGATTATGGCAAATTGTGATTTGTATGCTTCTAAATGAAATTATGTTACAGATAAAATTGCACCTTTATACACATATTTTAAGCTCTGTAGATTCTGCCGGTTTACTTTAAGATGAGCAGCAGTACTGTATTTACAATGTATTTGTGCCACTGCGTTACTGTTTTCTCTAAGTCTGTGTTTTGCATAATGATTTCCGAGCAAATAAAGGGAAGTATAGTCCGACCCAGTGCATATTAAAATAGTTTCAAGGGGTGTGATGTTTGGCACTTGGTACTTTTGATGCTGACTGCTTTCCCCCTAATGTTTCTGTTGCACGTCCTTATTTTGATAACTTCTTTTGCTCGGTTAAAGAAATGACCCAGATTGTCAGGAGACAACAGATCATTTGCAGTAGACTGTACCTGGTCGCTGTATGAGGTATTGGCATTCGATTGCAACCAGGTCCAAAGCAGACGTAGAGAAAGTGTGAATGTTGAATACATGGAACCATTCCCAGGTCTGCAATGCCTTTGCTAGATGGGAACATAAAAATGATTATTTTGCACAAAGACTTGCATTCAATTTTAAGCTTGTGAAACCATTACTCAACCAGTAATCGCTCACAGTTTGTGTTCCTTCTGATAGAGTATTTATGTTGAAGAAGGGCGGCCGGGCTCTCAGGCTGGCACAGCACCAAGGGGGGGAAGCCCTCTTTAGTCACTACATTGTCCAGATTTTTCGGTTTGGCTCGGTTTCGCCTCGGTACGGAGACCTCCGCTTTGGCTGGGTTCCTCGGTTAACCCCCACTCCACTTCCCCCGCGGAAAGATCTCATGTTCCTCAAGTATTTTCGAGATCTTTTGTGTGCATTCAAATGTGATTCTGTCAATGGCGCTGTTACACTGTTTAGAGTCAATAGCTCCCTTCCATCACAGCCAACACAAACTAGCTGTCTCATAGGTCAGTGCTCTTTAAACAAATTACTTGTATCCACAGAGCAAATGATTGTTAATTGCCTCCCACAAATCATACTATTTTTACTATGCTAAACTACATGCGAATGCCTTAGTTAAATTTAAATCACCTGATTATTTCTGGTACATATTCAATTATTGTGCTAAAGTATGAAATCTGGTGACTTTGCAAAACGAATGCTAAATATATATATATGATGGATACAGGGCTTTATGGGAAAGCCTTAAAAAAAAAGGAAAGAGTATGGTTACATTCATTTTAATGAAATCCTCAGCATTTCTAATTCGTATATATTGCATTTCCTTTTTTTTTTTTTTTAAGTGCTGTTGTCCTGAAGCAACTTACAGTCACTGTTATTACAGTATTGGTTATTTATTGATCAGACCTTGTGTCAGTATCAGTTGTTAGCAAGCTGAAAAAAATCAAGATAGAACAAATATTCTTGCCCTTTCTTCAAGATGGGTCTTTCTAAGTCAGTCAAAGTTAGCATGAAAGAGTCAAAACTGGAAAGTGTCTCTGTTAACATCTTAAACCGCTTTATTGCGCTAGAATAAAATGTATTTTTCTTAAAATAATAATGTCAAAAAAATTCCGGTTAACTGTCTTTTCTTATAAAGAAGGCTTCTCAGCATGACACACATTTTTAATTAATAGGGCAATGCTAAACATACAGAAATGATTTAGTAGCATCAAGTCAATAGCATGTTGGATAATGTATATTATATAATAGCTCTTTTTTAAACAGTAGCAATTCCAGGTTTATCAGGGTCATTGTTGTCCCCTTTCTTTTCTGTCTCAAAGGAGGCCAGAAGAATGAGACATACCATTTGTGCTATTGCACAAGTAGACTATTTGTCCTAATCAGTGACACCCATTTACTAGAATTGCTTAAAATGAACTATACCTCATACAGAAATCGCACATTTAGAGTGTTCCATTCATCATCTGAAAATTGAGGGCCAGTAAACTTTTCTGTTCCTCCAGCGGGATCATAGACATGCATCAAAATGTTA